TGGTTAGGTAACATCTTGAAAGTGTCTAGGTCTGGTAGGCTTTGTTGAAAGCATCCAAGTCTTGAACTCTTGAAAACGTCCAGGTCACGTCCATGTTGAAATAAAATAAGTTTCCAGGTCATCTCATGTCCTGGTTTAATAGGCTAGGTTGAAAGTTTTGAAGGGCATTTTAGATGCGAGGCTTGAATACTTCCAGGTCATCTTATGTCCCGGTCTCGAGAGTTGAAAACGTCCAGGTCACTTTGTTTCTAGCTTGTCAGGTCGAACAATAAACGTCTAGGTTAAATTCGTCCCGATCAAGTTCCAATGGCTTGGTTGCACTACGTAACCAGCATGACGTCAAATTTTCTGTCCAGGTGCCGGGTCAAAAATGTGACCGGTCAAAAAATATTTTCCCAGACTTATCTGATTTCATCAAATCCGCCAACTAAAAAAAGTGACCGGTCACTTTTCTCAAAGTTGACCGGTCAAATTTTGGATTTTTCCATTCGCCATTTCTGGTCATTCCAGAACATCAAGAAGTGACCAGTCACTTTTGACCATGCCCTCTTCTTATATCCATCTGGCCTGTCTGTCGTGTTCTACCCCGACCTTGACCAAACTTCGATCGAATGTTCCGAAACGGCTTTCGTCTTAAGTCTCGACATCAAGACCCGACCTTTTCTTTGGAGATTTTGACCATGTCCTATGGTCGCGAACCCTCTCCAAGGTTCAGCCCTCTTCCAGGCAACACCCTTCTTCCAGGGCCCCTCTTCCAGGTTTTAAGTCTTTTAATGTGTCATTCTCTAATTATTAGGTTGACCTAGCCAACCTAATCTTCCCACATGGGGGTATGCCGGTGAGAACCAGCCCTCATCCAATCCTGCACGTCCATATATTATGTGTTCGGAAATTCTAGTCTTCCCTAGACATTCCGATCCACAAAGGATGGCTCATACAAGACGGTAATATTTTTTTTGGCATCTTTCTAACCCTTCCCGACCAAAAAGTCGGTAGGGATCCATGTAAGTATGGATGCGAATCCTCTTCCGGATCCAGCCTGTCTCAAGGCGATACCTCAACATCAAGGCCCCTATCTCAAGGGTTTCTTTTTTTTTCTTTTTTTTGTTTTTGCTATCAGCCCATGCAACGGTCCAAGTCCTAGACATCAAGACTGATCCGTCTACAGCAAGCTTAGCAATCTTGACCACATCTTATCCACCCTCTCTTCTTTCCCTGATCATATTCATGTGGGTGGATTCAAGTACTCGCCTATGGGTCTTCCTCAAGCCCCGTAACGAATATTTCACCCAATTCCCCTTTCAAGGTCATCTCCCTGAGCACGACCCTCACATTCCGGCAATCTGTCGCGTTGTGAGAGTCGGATTGGTGGTAGGTGCACCACTTATTTGTCCAAGGCCGCTAGTGTTGTTCTCCCTTCCTCTCATCCCTAATTTGGTGGACTGACCCGTCATATGTGGCCCTTGGCTTAGACCCTCCTGTCTGGTCATCCTTCTTCGGCTTCTCGGCTTTCACTTTTGTATAGCCTTCCTCCAGCTCCTGCTTGCTCTTATTCAGGACCTCCGCCTCGGCATACTCCCATGCTGTATTATAGGCTTCCTGATAAGAGGAGGGTGGCCTTCTACAAAATTCGGTGTAGAGGTCACCCGACCGGAAGGCATTCATCAGCAAAGACATGGCCGTCTTATCGTCCATCTCTTCTACTTTATCGACCTCATCCCTCCAGCGCGTCAAGAATTGAGTCAAGGACTCCTTCTCCCTTTGTCCTACTGTGTTTAGGTAGGTGAACTTCTTTCTTTTCATGTAGTTGTCCTGGTACTTCTCGCATCCATACTTCGGCAAGTTTCTCAAAGGACCCAATCTTTCCATGGGGAAGGCCGTTAAACCATTCCACTGGTCT